CGCGTGGTGGCACGCTGAGGCAGCTGCCAGGCATTGGCGTGTCCGAGACACCCTACAGTTTCATGGGTACTTATATTCCCGGCTCTCCTGAAAAGTAGCTGTTTCGCACACGCACGTGGTCGATAATTTTATTAAGTACTGCCTGGTGAGTACTTTCGCCGTAACACCTCACATCCCCCCTCCCTCTCCTCAACGACAAACTTTGGAGAAAATCTCGGTAAAAAGAATAAGAAGCGGCTGGGTTCCAAAAGTCGGCCGGAAGAGAGAATTCGGGGTGAAGGAGGTCGCATTTTGCAAAAATTTCTTTTAACACGAATTTAGGCACTAGTTCTTGGCCCTCTGATTGATCAACCACCCATCGCCTCATTTGCTACTTAATACCTGTCATAGGGGAAATTAAATAGACGAAACCAAAACTGCAACGATTGCAGGTGTATAATTGGCGATTGTACATACAGTTTGAAAGGACCACATACAAGCACGTTGGCTTGCCATCTGAAGAAACACTCAGCCGAGTATGCCGAATTCCAGAAACTGAAGGTTAGTGGAGAGTTTCTGGCAACGTTTCGTTCTCAGTGTCAAGGTGCAAAAAGCTAGGTACACTCTTATTCGCTGAGGATGAAGGGGCGTGTCGGTGAGGCTGGCTTTGGCTCCCAGCCAGCCCGCTCTCCACCAGTTGTTGATGCGGGTAAACGACATAATCGTGAAAACCATCAATACGAACGATATGTACATTTTGGTCGCTAGGCGAAGAAGGGCGTGTTTTCGCAAATGCTAGGGCGTGCCAATGAACATGGGTCTGGCATGACGCCAAACCCATGCTCATTGGCACGGCCTAGCATTTGCGAAAATCAATCGTATGCTCGTGCACCAGGGCATAATAGTGAGCGTATATTGAGAACCAACAATTTCGGCTGGCACAAAACTTTCGTCAAATTGAGGCCATAATTAATCGCATGTGTTGTGGAATGCGTGGCGCACTCCATAGTGTTCGCACACCGCCAAGCAATCTGTTATGCATGTGTCATCATGTGAAAAGGAAAACGCGCTGCTTTCAGCTCTTCAAGTCTAAAGTGGAAGGTGAGTTATTCTGAACAATTTTGAATTGTACTGGCTCTGATTTCCTTTATTTTTCATGTCGATTTTATGCTCTTTTCCTTATATTTTTGCGTTAATTCAGGCATCAACTCAAATGGCTTACATTCTTTCAGATTCATTCAGAGTCAGTACAATTTAAAATTGTTCAAAATAACTCACCTTCCACTTTCGAAGCTTGAAGAGTTGAAAAAGTGGGAATTCGCAGCCGAATTCCATCCGATGATTCGCCGTCACCGAGCCGCAGCCGCTGTCGCGTCAGGCTGCGTTTATACTTTGCGGCAGCGTAGCGTAGCGTAGCGCTTCCAGCGTACGCCACCGGCAGTGTCGGGAAAGGATAGGTATCGATCTAGCGTTCGCCGAGCCGTCACAGCGTAGGCTTAGGCGTAGCGAGGGCAAGGGAAGGCATAGCTATCGATCTGAGGCATCGGCGGGCTAGAGAGTATAGAAGAGTAGGAGAGTACAAAATACTCTCCTACTCTTCTATACTCTCTAGCCCCGCCGCTGCAAACGCTAGCGAAACGCTAGTGAAACGCTGTGAAACGTTGGAAGCGCCACGCTACACTACCGCCAAGTGTATAAACGAAGCCTCACATTGCAGCGCGGCTGTGCCGCTCCGACAGTCCGTAATGATGAGGACTGCAGTTGTTCGTTGCCCATAGATTTTTTGGTTTTATGGCATACGAAGCCAACTTCGCGAAGAGTGTACCGGCAGCTTGCGCGTTTATTCAGCGCTCGCTTTGTGCCCTCCTCGACGCGCATAAAGTGAATACCGGGGTTATATACCGGCAATTCATATGAGTGAGTGTGTGAGTGATTATACTCGTGAACGTTACGGTGGTCAACTGCCATCATCACCATCGTCATCAGCATGTGGATCGAACTCGTCATCGACAAGCAACAACACACCTGTGTCGAAACCGTCGAAACCGAAGAAAGAAGTGAAGACGGATGTGAGGTGGGTTATGGAGCATCAGAAGAGTAAGGACTAATTAGGCAGCGTTCAGACTTCGTGACGGCAGCGCCTGGGTCGCGCGTTCGGCGCGATCGATGCGCATGCTTTCGACTGCATCGATCACGTCGAACGCGCGACCGAAGCGCTGCCGTCGCGAAGTCTGAACGCTGCCTTACACAGTCTATATCTGAAAGGTAACTAGGGGCGTTTCCAGCTTTGTAGGCTTGTTCAGCTGAGCATAGGCTGGGACTTATGAGGGGCTGGGTTTGGGCGGGCGTCAACCATGTCGCACCAACTCATTTTGGGCTATTTCGCTTCAAATGAGCTGGTGGAGAACAGGGCTGAGCTAAAACTCACTCCACCGCCTCCGCCCCCACCCCCCCCCCCGACATGATTGCAGCATCTGTTAGCCGAACGAGGCTGTTGAGTGATACGATTTCCTGGCATACCCCTGTGAGAGATAGAGTTTTCACATCAATCATTTTTTTTGCTAGTGTGGCAACCACACATCGCCCCTCCTGGAAAAAATAGAAACGATACCGGTCATTTCAAATTGATTGGGAACCCGTAGATCATTGATGAGTGCGATCGCATTGCGGGCGCAATGATCGTCAACGGCAGTGGTACGACTGGTAGGTGGAGCAACATTTCTGCCGTCATTGGTGGAAGAACCTGAGGCCAGCGCTAGAACTGCTGCGCCACCTATTAGCCAAAAGGCCCACTGTCTTTAACGGCTTTCGAGGTGGCTGCTCTCCATGACAGTTTTCAAAACGGTTGTACCCAACAGCATATTTTTATGGGCATGACCATTTGAAAAGCTACCAAATGCTACGTGAAGTACATTTTTTGGAGATATGCGGCGTTGTTCGGCTGGAGGTGGGGGAGGAGAGGGGGGGGGGACATTTCGCACTTTTTTTTGTGAACTAACACGTAATGCTTTCGTGAAACCTGTTACTTGTGAAGGCATAAAATGGTATAAGTGAGCCACTTTGGTTACAAGAATTCACAAGTCTCTACAAGGTACCTTGGATATGTTTCGCTGAGTACCACTGGTGCCCCCTCCGAGCCGTACTGTGCCGAAATATGCCATTAAATAAGTATAATACATGTTTTACAGTAACCTGATGGCAGCATTACGCAATGGCACGCCAGCGATGCCTGCTGGTATCCTTCACAATTTGATGCAGACGGTGAATCCATTCCAAATGATGCTTAATCCGCAAATACCGACATCGTCAGCCAATATTAATGCGGCACAAGCAGCAAATCAAATGCTGCAACAAGCAGGTGAGACGCCTCTCGATCAATTATTGATTGGTGATTGATTTTCAACTGTTAACAGGACTCACAATCAATTCGTCGGGGCAGATCATGCAGTCGAAGAAATGGCGACGGGATGAGCGACGTCAACGCGAACTCGAGCAGAGGTTGGCGCTGGCGTTGACCACCTCACATCTCACGTCTGAAGCACTGGCCAATCCACTTTGGAAAGAGCTGCTCGAGGCTGCACAGCCAAAGTTTACCCTCAACGACGATCCACAGTACTTTGAACAGGTCAGTGGTGAATAGTTCAAATGTTTGGAGTTTAAGGTCTGCTATTGCGAAAACTCGGAGCACTTATCAGGTTCTCAGTGGAAGTATCTCAAATAAATGGACATACTAGTTTTGAAGGACCAGTCCACGCTGATCATTTGGGCGGGGACAGATAGCCATTGCTCATTTTTCATCGCTGCCTCTTTATCGCCCTGAGAAAGGTGCGCACAAATATGCAAGCGCACCCGTTCCCTGTCTCCGCCCAAACGAACGACGTGCGCCATGCCTTTGAGTGGTTTTTCAGAAGTTCTAGTGCTATGTCGATAGCTCTTGGACTTAAACTTCATTCAGAAAACAGTTCACGGGCTTCATAATTCTTGCTGTAGACAACATTTAGTGGACAAACACTGACAGCGGATACAGAAAGCCTTCGCCATCCCTATCGAGCGTCCCTGCTTTCGGAGACAGCAAAAAGGGGCGTGATGATAGGGACGTGCCAATGGCAGTCCTAACCCCGCCCATACGATATCTGTACTGTGTCTTTAAGTCAATCATTCGCTTGAAACCCCAGAGCTTTTGAATCACAAAAGGGTAGTAGTGGGAACTTCTCAACGTCTCCTCTCCTTGTTCAGCGAACGTGCAGCAAACCACGTCCATTTCAGCGTACTA